ATCTAGTTAATGAATAACCCTCACCCTCCCTCCCCACCCTCGTAACCATCAAAGAATGTTTTCTTCTGTGTTTAAACCTTTTCTTGAGTTCTTATAGTAGTGGTCTTATACAATATTTGTCCTTCTGTGACTGACTAAATTCACTCAGCATAACGCCCTCCAGATTCCTCCATGACACGTAACAACTTCTAATCTGTATCAGTTGGGTTCTTCTGTGTAATAGATCATCCCAAAACATAATGGCTATCCAGCAGCTGACTGTATGCACAGGAGTGGGTAGAGTTCAAAGGCTTCAATGTCCCAGTGAATTCCTCAGGAACCAGCCACTCTGTGCTGTAGTCACTGGTCTATAGTTCTGACCTTCTACTTTCCATTTTCAAAGCCAGCCTGCGTTTCTGGAGCTAAGGAAGAGACAGCCCTATTGTATTTCCTGTGAAGAATGATGTCCTGCTGGAATCATCATACATCCACCCAGGCTGTGGAGTAACGGGGTGAGTGAGGATGTACGAAACAGTATTTCGAAGTAAAGGGTGGAGAACAGACTGAGGCTTTCTGTTCCCAAGCAAACAGAGCTTCAGCAGCCAGAGGTAACAGAATTCAGGCTTCCTTAGATTTTAACAACGCAGTGGTGGTTCAGTGGCAGAATTCTCGCCTGTCATGCGGGAGACCTGGGTTTGACTCCCAGTCAATGCACCTCATGCTCTTGTGTCATTATGACACTGAACAGGTCTCAGCAGAGCTTCCAAACTAAGATGGACTAGGAAGAAAGGCTTGGCAATCTACTTCTGAAGATCAGCCAGTAAAAACCCTATGGATCACAACAGAACATTGTCTGATCCCCATTCCGTCATGGGATTGGCACAAGACCAGGTAGTATTTTGTTCCTTTGTGTGTGGGGTTGCCATGAGTCGGGACCAACTTGATGACAGATAGCGACAACAACAAGTTTCCAACACAAATTAAAAATAAAAAAAACCTAACCACAGACCCAGAAGGGGAGCCAGGACATGCCACAGGACAGTGCCACAGGACAGTGCCACAGTGCTGCTCAGGACCCCCCACCTTCTCTGAGGTCTTCAGGTTGTTGGTTTCCTCTCAGTTCCCTTAACTTCAGCCAGGACAATAACACAAGTTTAGACCCATCAAGAATGACCCTGTCACAGGGAACATCTGGCTCAAGTGGCATAACACAGTTTATAAAGACAATGTTCTACATTCTACCTTGGTGAGTAGCGTCTGGGGTCTTAAAAGCCTGTGAGCAGCCATTTAAGATACTCCACTTGTCTAACCTCTTCAGGAGCAAGGGAGAATGAAGAGAACAAGACACAAGGAAAAGATTAGTCGAAAGGACTAATGGACCACAGCTACCACAGCCTCCACCAGACTGAGCCAGTACAGCAAGATGGTGCCCGGCTACCACCACTGACTGCTCTCACCAGGATCACAATACAGGGTCCTGGACAGAGCTGGAAAAGGATGTAGAACAGAATTCTAACTCACAAAAAAGACCAGATTTACCAGCCTGACAGACTGGAGAAGCCCCGAGAGTATGGCCCCTGGACACCCTTTCAGCTCAGTGGTGAAGCCTCTCCCGAAGTTCACCGTTTAGCCGGGGATTGGACAGCCTCATAAAACAAAACAGGACTAATGAGGCACAGCAGTCCAGAGACAAGGACTAGAAGTCAGGAGGGAACAGGAAAGCTGGTGATAGGGAACCCAAGGTTGAGAAAGGACAGTGTTGACATGTCATGGGGTTGTTAACCATTGTCATAGGGCAATATGTTTACTGACTGTTTAATGAGAAACTATTTGTTCTGCAAACCTTCATCTAAAGTACAATAAAATTTTTTTTAAAAAAAAAAAAAAAGAATGACCCCGTCACAAAGAGAGATCGTCATTAAATCCAGTAAAGATAATAAGTCAGGTCAGAAAACAAATTAGGATGGCCAGAAGTCATGCACATTTGTCTCTTGACGCTGGGAAATAGAAATTTAACAGTGACCCCAACCTCAGAGGGTTCTTACAGCACCTGAAAGCTTTATACTTAGAAGACAACATTGCTCGATGGCAAAATACTGTTTCACTGGAGTTTCAAGAGTAATCATCACAGCCCTTCCGGCCTCTGATATCAACTGTCAAAGCCTTCAAACAGTAAACCAAAATGCATTGAGAGCCCGTGTTCCTGCAGGCCCAGCATCCTTCACGTCTGCAGCAGACTGGTGTAAGACTAACCACCCTGTTCTAGTAAAATCGCAAAAGGATGTTTCTTGGTCAAACCATTCTGACTCGCCCAAGGTCATATGGCCAGCAAATGGCGGGGCCAAGATTTGATCCTAGGCAGTTAAACACCACAGTCCTCACTCATAAGCAGCACATCACAACACAATAGTGCACTAATAATCTAAGACCATGTAATAACGCAATAGAATAAAGCAGAGATCAAGCCTGATTTTCCATCCATGCCCTCTTCACTGAGAAATCATTCTAGCTGTCTCTTCACCAGCTTCTCATTGCTCAAATAATCTTTTTTTTTTAAAAACCTGGACAGGTCTTAGGACTCAGAGGAATGCAGCACGACCTAGTCACAGATGATGCTCCTTCCAGGGGCAATTTTATGACTCCCTGTACCACCACTACTCTTCTCACACCTGTCCTAAAACATGCACACACACCTGCATGCACACACACACACACACACACCCCTGTATGTGCACACACACCTGCATGCACACATACACACACACACTGCATGCACACACAGCTGCATGCACACACACACACACACACACACACACACACGTGCTATTTCTCTCCTGTCCTGGACAACTCTAATATACTTGCCAACACTTAAGTTGAATGGCAAGTGGACACTGTAGTTGAAAACCAGTAGGAAAAAAAAGATGGCTGTCCGTAGGGCTAAGGCTGGACCGGAATTGGTTCTTAGAACTGAAGATGGGGAGAAATGGAAGCTTAGAGAAACTCCATTTGCAGTGAGTGGAATGAGTCAAGAAGTCACAAGGTAGCTGTAGGGGGGTTTAACTGCAGCCCAACTTGCCTAATTTCATTGTATCTAACACTTAAAATTCAGATTGCGAAGCTCTTGCAGACTAGAATCAGGGCTGCTGGCTCACTCAATAAATGGAACCACAGTAACTTCCAAGAACTCTAAAATGGAGCTCAGGTACTGTTTTGGGTAAACGGATAGTAACACAATTCAATTTGACAGTTATTTCTTGAGTATCACTAAAATGCCAAGTATGAGGCATTGGTGGTAGGTTCAGTGGTAGAACTCTCACCTACCAAGTGGGAGACCTAGGTTCGATTCTTGGCCAATGCATGAGAACCCTATGGGTCACAACAGTCTGATCCACAATCTTTCATGGGAAGGGCACAGGACCAGGCAGGGTTTCTTTCCATTGTGCATGGGTTCGCCATGAATTGTGGGCTGACTCAACAACAGCTAACAATGACAACAAATGTCAAGTCCTAGTTTTGGTATAATAGGTAAGAAGATGAACTAGACCTAGTTTCAGTACTCCAAAAGCCACAAAGAAGGGAAGGGGATTTGTCCCAGCTAACTATATTATAGTGTGCTGATATTTCCAATGTACTGCTGCAACCTGCAATATGTAGATGACACAACCTTGCTTGCTGAAAGTGAAGAGGACTTGAAGCACTTACTGATAAAGATCAAAGACCACAGCCTTCAACATGGATTACACCTCAACATAAAGAAAACAAAAATCCTCACAAATGGACCAATAATTAACATCGTGATAATTGGAGAAAAGAATGAAGTTGTCAAGGATTTCATTTTACCTGTATCCACAATTAATGCCCATGGAAGCAGCAGTCAAGAAATCAAATGATGCACCGCACTGGGTAAGTCTGCTGCAAAAGACCTCTTTAAAGTTTTGAATACCAAAGATGTCACTTTAAGGACTAAGGTGCACCTGACCCAAGCCATGGTATTTTCAATCCCCTCATATACATGCAAAAGCTGGACAATGAATAAGGAAGACTGAAGAATTGTTGATGTGTTTGAATTATGGTGTTGGCAAAGAATATTGACATATCATGGACTGCCAGAAGAACAAACAAACCTGTCTTGGAAGAATCACGGCCAGAATGCCCGTTAGAGGCAAGGAGAGCAAGACTTCGTCTCACGTACTTGGACATGTTATCAGGAGGGACCAATCCCTGGAGAAGTATATCATATCTGATAAAGTACAGGGTTGGTGAAAAAGAGGAAGACTCTCAACAAGATGTACTGACACAGTGGCTGCAATGATGGGCTCAAACATAGCAACAACTGTGAGGATGGCACAGGATTGGGCAGTGTTTCGTTCTGTTATACATAGTGTTGCTATGAGTCAGAACCTACTCAACGGCACCTAACAATAATATTTCTAATAATAGTAATAATGTATGGGTAACACAAAAAACTGAGCAATTAATATGGTGGCAGAGGGCTGTGGAAGCAAAATGAGAATGTATAACGACAAGGAGAACTTTCCCAAGAGGAGAAAAGGAAGGACGAAATAACATGAAAAGCTGCTCGTTTTACCTTCTCACTTTGCAAGAGTCAAAAATGCGAGCATGCAATTAAAATAGACTATTTTTTAGAAATTCAATTAATCAGAGTGCTCAAGCTAGAGATAACCAGATTGATTTTCTGATTAAATGGGAACCAAAGAAGAAGCCTTTTGTTTCCTCTTTTAAGAATCATTTCTGGACAATACCCTGACATTACGTACCTTCTGGACTTAGAAAATGCAGTCGAGTAGCCTCAATGGATACTTTCCTTTCTGACCAAAGACCTTCCACAGTTTCAGAGCCACTATCCTGAGTTTCAAAATCAAAAGACACATTGCATTGGGAAAATCGGCTGCAAAAGACCTCTTTGAAGTGTTGAAAAGCAAAGATGTCACCTTGAAGACCAAGGTGCGCCTGACCCAAGCCATGGTGTTTTCATTTGCCTCGTACGTATGCGAAAGCTGGACGATGAGTAAGGAAGACCAAAGAAGAACTGACACCTTTGAACTGTGGTGTTGGCGAAGATTATTGAATATACCATGGACTGGCAAAAGAAGAAATAAATCTGTCTTGGAAGAAGTACAACCCGAATGCTCTTTAGAAGCAAGGATGGCGAGACTTTGTCTCACATACTTTGGACATGTAATCAGGAGGGACCAGTCCCTGGAGAAAGACATCATGCTTGGTAAAGTAGAGGGCCAGCAAAAAAGAGGAAGACTCTCAATGAGATAGACTGACACAGTGGCTGCAACAGTGGGCTCAAGCATAACAGAGATTGTGAGCATGGCGCAGGACCGGGCAGGGTTTCGTTTTGTTGCACATGGAGTTGCTATGAGTCAGAACTGACTTGACGGCACCTAACAACCACAACATCCTGAGATTCAACAGTGAATGAGTTAGGGATGTTTGATTGTAAGCAACAGACACTGACTGGATAACTCGAACAGAAAATGGATTTGTTCGAGGACACTGGATGGCGCACTGATTTAAGAAAAACTGAAAAACTAGGTCCGAGAAACAAGAGAGGCCAGGGCGACTCTGGGGACCTGGGTAACGTAACAAGCCAACAGCCTCACCAGTTCCACAAATGAAATGAATGCGCTCAGACTGTCTTTTCCAGCCTTGCATTAATCTACTCAAGAGTCAAAGTTCCTGGA